CTTGCTGCCAGCAAGGAAGCCTTAGGGAGAACTTGCAGACCAGCTGGGAAACCATTAAGTGACGGGTGATTGGGGGAAAGGGGGCTCAGCCCATGGAAGGGGCTGTGGCCCCCTGAGAATTCGTGGGAGGCTGGATTGGGACCCCTCCCAAGGGCCTGAGGCTTCCCACGCCTGAACTAGCTCTGGGGTCACGGCCAGGGTGTGAGCTAGGCCACAAAAATCTTGCGGACACACAAGTCCTGGGATTTTATTCACCCAGCTGCACGGGCAGATAGGTGCCTGGGATGGAATCGGCTCTGACGGCATTGTGTGCATTGTCAAGTGTGTTTTGCTCTGTCATCCACCCATGGAAAGAGTTGGATTTTGTGTCCATGCCTATGGAATGTTGCAAATTTGCACTCGTGGAAATTATTTCGGTTCATTTTCCGAATCACGTAAAAGAAATCGACCATAAAAATGCCAGACAGAAAAGTGCACAGGTTGTTTGTTTGTTTCTTATATGCACGTTTGGTTCATTTTCTAGAGCAGCCAGCCCCAGCTGGCACCCCCTAGATGTCTGGGCTTCAACTTCCATCTGCCCCAGCCAGCATGGCCAATGGGCAGGGTGGCTGGGAGTTGTAGTCCAAAGCATCTGGAAGGGCCAGTTTGGGGAAGGCTGTTCTAGAGTGTAATACTCCGCATTTTCATTTGACTTTCCCCTAATCTAGGCATCTGTGCACCTGAGTTATTGCTGATTATAATTATTATCAAAACATGACCTAGCTGAGGTTCCTTCCTCCTGGAAGGGGCCCAAGGCAGCTTGCTTGGTGCTCCTCGTCTTTGTTTTATCCTCACCGCAACAGCCCTGTGAGCAGGTTGAGCGCAGAGCGAGGGGCTGGCCCAGAGTCACCCAGCGAGCTCCGTGGCTGAGCGAGGACTAGAACCCGGACCTCCCAAGACCCCGTCCTGCGCTCTTTCCGCCTGTGCTACAGTTCATGTTTGCAGTGTAACTTTTCGAAAAGCATCGCCCTGCACGCTGAGTTGCTTTCGAGTTCATGTGTAGGTTTGGGAGGTGGAGACTGGGTGGGTGGCTATGAAAATCAAGACTGCTTGGAGAAGAACGCGTAGGATGCCAGCAAGGATTGTCTGTGGTTATTGGGGAAATAAGGCAATGTATGGCCTTCTGGCTGAGCATTGAAGAATGTTCATCCCAAGCCACCGAGCACTGCTAAAAAGCTGCTTTTCCTCGAGTGTGGTGAGCTCAAGCACTCTCTATTGCGCTGCGATTGCCTTTTGTACCGTTGTCTTTGCATCTGCCATCTCCGAAAAGCTGTGCTATTGCAATGTGGTCATAGATTAGTTGCGGTCCCGCACAATTTAAATGTGTTTTCATCATGCTTCCCTTGAGCAAATGAAGCTCGGGGAAAAAATTGCAATTCGCTATCAATCTCATAATGCGTTAAAAGCACACACAAGCACTCAGGAATTAATTTCCAGATGTTCTGGCCAGTGTCAGTCCATGCAGGAATGTGGATAAGGCGTATAAACAAATAAAGGGGGGAAACCCACCACCGTTCTCGACATTGTCACCCTCTTTGGAAGCTGCTTTAATGTACCCCCATCCCTCCCAAAACCGTGTTTAACGGGGGCCAGTGGCAACAGCTGTACTCTTTCCAGGTTCCCTGTCTCCTTTCCCTCTCCAAGCTTCTTCTTTCCGCGGAAGATGCTGGAGTAAGGGAAAAATCATTGCCCTCACTCTGATTTGGCTTCAGGTGACCAGTTCTCATTGGCTATGTGCTCTTCCGATGCCCAATCAGGAAAGGAGGCGGGAGCATCAACCGACAATGACAAATTGGCAGATGATGATGATGATGAAAAGTAGAACAGGAGATTTGGAAGCTCTTTTGCCACTCCCAGGAGCCCCAATTTCAGGCTGAAAAAAAGTTAGATTAACTTTTGGCTTAGCTCTAAGAAAACTGAGATTAGTGGGAATTAATGTGGCTTTGGAAGCTAATATTAATATTTCAAAATGTTGTTTGACATGGCCAGACAGAGCTGTGAAATACCTTGGTTCTTATATAACATCTAGTAAACATCTAGTTTTGAAGATTTATAGATATACTTATATGCTGGTAGCAGAGAAAATAACTGAAGAGCTTTTAAAAATGGACAGAACTGAGATCATTATGGATAAGAGAGATGCATGTCCTGCCATAATTTCTTTTTATTGAGAGTGATGTCCAAATTTAATCTCTTTGCCAATGTTAAAAGAAAAGCAGAAAATGTTGATGAACTTTATACGGGGGTCCAAACAAACGCACATGCTCATACAGGCCGCTCAGAAAGAATATTTTTAAAAGATTGGCAAATCATTATGCTGGGTTGGGTCATTTGAGATTTCTTGGGTGGGGCGGGGGTAGGGTCATCCTGGATTAAATGCTTTTGCATGACATCCAGGGAATGGTTTTGTAGATGGTGAACAAGTACTATCTATTTATTGGGAATTAATGTGCAAACCTGTGTGTATTTACCCAGAAGTAAGTTCCTCTGTGTTTAGTAGGGCTTCCTGCCTTTCAGGTAATCTTGGGAGCAAGACCCATTGGATCGAGCAAGGTTTATTTTTTAGCAGGCTGGTATAGGATTAATAACATCAGTACAAATCATATTAAGCCCAGGTGTGCATAAGTACCTTCTGAGATTCTACAATAGCTCTGTAAGCGATCCCAATATTTTAACCCTGATCTTAATGTTAGCTGTTTGGGAAAAATGCAGAACCGCTCCTTAAGTCCTTCCATCTCTGCAGAAACCTCACTTTCGTTTAATCATACCTTCTATTCAAGTGATAGAAGAGAGCACAGGATTAAGTATGGACTAGGAAGCCTCACCCGGCAGGACAACTGTAATGGGAATTTAACAACGCAATGAATAACAAACACCATGGAATGCGTCCAATATTCCTAGTCAAGGAGTTTCGTAGCAACAGCATGAAGGCCACGGTGTCTGTAGCTGCTCTCAACCTATGCTTGAAGTAACAACAATCACTCAAGGAAAAAACAGGCGCCAAAATTAACTGCATACGCTTTAAATACTAATAATGAATTAAGTTCTCCAATTGCCAGTCCTAATTCATTGCCCAAGCGGCACCGTCTGTCCCTGAGAGGGAGCCCTTGCCATGTTTGGAGGGTTTGCAGAGCGCAAGAAATAGGTTGAAAAGCCCTATGGTGGGGGGGGGGCTGCCCCCGCCCTCCAGAACAGCCAGTCAGAGTGGGCATGCTCAGAGGCCGCACACAGGCTGCGTGTTGAACAGCCTGGGTGGAAGGGGGTCCCTCGACAGGCACATCCCGGCTCCAACATTCCTTTGCGACGCCGGTGCTTATTCTCCAGCGTTAATCCAGATGATGGAGTTGGTGGTCATTCGAAGGCCAAGTGGGGAAACAGGGTGAAGTACGTTGCTGGCAAAGACTGGCTGCCCCGAGCCCTTCTTGTTTAGTGAAGGGCTCCGTCTCACGGTGCCTTCCTCTGCCCCCGGCCCTATTTGGAGATGTATAAAAGTCGCTGAACTGGAAGAACTCTGGCGGTTGTGCAAGCTCATTTGCAAGCTTTACAGAGGCATCCTCTGCATCACCTCCCAAAGCAACACTGGCATGCAGTTTTTCCAGGCTGCATAGCAGAAAATCGGAGCAAAATGTATGCACTTCAAGTGCATTCACACCTGTGCACCGGTTGCTATAAAAAGTATACAGGACCCGCTTGGAATGCCGTTAAAGTGCAAAGCTAGGCAGATCTTCCTGTCCATTTCTCATCTGTCATCTTTCTAAAGCATTCATTTATAATTATCTTGCACACTTAGGTATGACCCACACGTCTCTTAATTGAGCTTAGTAAACAGACAAGCCACTTTGGCGGTGCTAAAAGATAAGGATAAGAAAACTCTTCTTTATGACATGATAATTACTGCTAAAGAAAGAAATGCATGGAATACATTGGGAAACCAACTGAATTCCAAGAATGAGCATGTTGTATATTAAGTGATGGAATGGTACAGTTTTAAAAGTAATTAAAATTAATTATTTGGGCTAGCCAGGAAAGACAATCTTGTACTAAGCCTAAGGTTGTGCCGAAACCATTGTGGAGCATTTTTGCTGGCGTAAGGAAAGAGTAAATCTGTGAGAGTCGGCTGAGCAGCGTGATGTCATAGACCTCTTTTTTCCTTTGGAAACAATGGTTTTTAATCTATTAAGTCAATTAAATCAAAGTGGGAAAGGAGCTGGTTGAACATAGCCGCCACTTCAACCAATGACCCCTTAGCTCAGCTGGGTCCCAGATGCGCGTGGCTTTTTCCCTTCCCCGATTCATCCCTGTGCCCCATCGTTGGCTCTCATGGTCCTCTGAAAGCCCCTTCCACGTACAAATTGCGAGCCAGCCCTAAACTGCAAAATTAAACTGGGGCGGCAGGCCTGGACATGCCTACCTGAGCATCACCTCCGTTGAAATCGGTCTGGCTCGCTTCACAAAAGCAGGCTGGGGTGAGTGCTGCAGCTACTGCCAACTTGGCTTCGGCCCATCGGTTGGTACTCCAAGAAGCTCTGACGGGAGGGAGTTAGGAGTTGAGGCGAGAGTCGTGTCTGCTCAGCAAGGGTGCCGGGTACCCTTGCCAGCACGGTCAGAGGTGGTGGTGGTTCATGGGAGTTGAAGACCAGAACATCTGGGGGGACCCAAGTTGTCCTCCCGTGTTCCAGTCAGCAGAGATTTTCCAAAGCAAGTGTAGGCAACATAGTGTAGAACCCCTTTCTTGGCACCCTGCCAATGGCCCAATAAAATGTCAAAACATCCCTGACCACAGAACCAACAGCAGGAGAGAATCTTAAGAACCGAGCTCTGAAAAACCTTGATGGCCACGTGGAACGGAAAGGTTTTCACAGGCGAAAGGTGGTCCCACCAACCCAAAACTTGCTGCCCTCCCCTTTGACCACCCCGGTCGTTCCTCAGTTGACTCCTTCTCTGTCTTTCTCATTGACCAGGTTCTACTGGGACCTGACCATGCTGCTGCTCATGGTTGGGAACCTCATCATCATTCCGGTGGGCATCACCTTCTTCAAGGACGAAAACACCACGCCGTGGATTGTTTTCAACGTGGTCTCGGACACCTTCTTCCTCATTGACCTGGTCCTCAATTTCCGCACAGGGATTGTGGTGGAGGACAACACGGAAATCATCCTCGACCCGCAGCGGATTAAGATGAAGTACCTCAAGAGCTGGTTTGTGGTGGATTTTATCTCCTCCATTCCAGTAGATTACATTTTCCTGATTGTGGAGACGCGCATCGACTCGGAGGTTTACAAGACCGCCCGAGCCCTGCGGATCGTCCGCTTCACCAAAATCCTCAGCCTCTTGCGGCTTCTGCGGCTTTCCAGGCTGATCCGCTACATCCATCAGTGGGAAGAGGTGAGCAACGCTTCGGGCAGTGGTCTGGCTTTCTCCGGGAGGTCTTACGGGAAAGGGCTTGCTATGAGACACGGGACTGGTTTTCTCGTGGGGTTTTCTCCTGGCTTTTTTTGACGGATTTTTCCAAGTGATTGTGAATCGCCCTGTTGGGCATAGCAGGTCGGCAGCAAAAATCATTAACATAGTGTCTGCAGGCTGCTTGTGTGTCGGCGCTGATTGTCGGCGCTGATTGTGAGGGCGCTGCTCGGCTTGGGATCGGTCGTGTGGTCTTGAGCTGAGTGCTTACTGCCGGAGGCGACCGTTGTGTAAAAGTGTGACCCCAAGACGTGAGTTCTGGCACTTTTTTTTTTTTTTTTTTTACAGATAAAGCACTGGGTTTTCTGCAGTCCTGTGCCCCAGGGACAGGGAGGAGGAGCTTTCGGGAGCTGCTCCCCAGTGAGGAGCAGGGCCAAGCTGCCAAAAATGGCAGCGTATTTTACCTTAAAGCTCGCATCACAAGCGACGCGGACTTGGCTTTTCCTCCGCGGCTGCACGCGGGCTCAGTGTTGTCCTTGACCTGCCCCCCGAAATGGCATCGGCTCTTACGGGGTTATTGTCAGTTTGCACTTGAGCAGGTGGGTCAAGCTTTGTACCTTCCAGGAGAGGGCGAACGCTTTCCCCCGAGCCATCATTTTGAGTCTGGTTTATTTTGCACCTGTTGGTAAACCTCGGGATTCTAGTTCTTTCAAAAAGCGAAGTAGAGCCCTGCAAATGTCTTCATCAGGGACATCCTTCCAAAATTGGTGGCCCGTCCCACTTGCTGAGCCTCATTCAGTCCTGGGTGACAATCACAGTGCAGGGGCGGGAGCTCCTTCAGTAATGAAGTCCTGACCTAAGTCTACCTATCTTCCGAAATGGTCCCAAATTTTAATTTTCTACGAGACCAGATGTCTTCCGGTTATCTCTAACAAACAAAGATGTCCCTTCCGGAACTTCTCAGTTCCTTGTTATGACCTATAAAGATGCTGAACACTGAAGTGGCCATGTGTCCTACTTCATGCAGGACAGTCCTCTACTTCAAGGGTAGTCAGAGGACAGTCCTTCGTTTGAAGATCTTCCGGCGCAGCCTTACGTGATGCCCGATTTGCAGTGTGCGGAAAGAGGGCCGGCCGTTCGCCCCCGTGCCAGCCCTGCTGGGAGTGCAGAACCTGCCGTGCACCGGAGCGCCCACACCTGGGCCGAGGCCGAGAGGCCGCTCCAGCAAGCAGCGGGGCGCGATATGGCACGGCGCTGCGATGAAGAGGAGGCCTCCGTTTCTGGGCACCTGGAGACCCATGCGGAGGCTTTGGCTCTCTGGAGCAAAGTATTTTGGGAGCAAGGTGGCCACGCCCAGCTTTTGCAGAGCGCAGTCCTCTACTGAAGGACGGCCCTCGCCTAGTCCAGTTCAGGGTAATCCGAAGGAGGGGGAGCCATGCTTTGGAGCTGTCCTCGAGCAGGCAGCGCCCGGACGGGCGACAGACCGAACCCTCCGTGCTCTGAGCGCGTCTTCCTCCTCCTGTTCTAACGGCTCTTTCTAAATCTGCGCGTAACACTTGCGCCTGCAGGTGGTGTGCGCAGCGCCGCCTGAATCAGTCCCCTCCTTTGTCGCTGCATTTCGAGGGGACGCCTCGGAGACCTGCCCTAGCTGGACGGGGTGGGGAAGGACCCAAACGCCCACGGCCGAGCGCTCTGGCCCGGGGGTGCCATGTCACATGTGGGCAGAGTGCCCCCCCCCCACATCCCCATCCCCACTTCTGTTTGCTTCCTTTGGGGAGAGAGTGGGGGGGAGCCCTCGCCGGGGCCGCAGCATCTCCCTCCGGGGCCGGCCCCACAAGCAGGAAGGCTCCCAACACCGCAGCTGCCGCTCTTTCCAGGAAAATGCCTAATTTCTAAAAGAATAATGTAGAGATGGGAGCTACATAATGAACTGTAAAGTGAAGGCAAATATTTGAATAGCTTCATTGCTACAGCTTGGAGGCTGGCATGAAACGACAAAGGGAAAGTGCTTTTTACGAGCTCCTTGTGGCAACAATTTGAGTTTAATGTTGTGTTTCTCAGTGATGAAAGCTGGTAAAGGGGAAATGGGTCACCCGTTGCAGCAGAAACGGAGCGCCAAAATGATCAGGGTGTGACTTCGGAAAAGGAGGACTAGTTCCCGAGAGCCCATGTGGTGCAGGGGCTCAGAGCGCAGGACCCGGGTTCGAGTCCCTGCTCGGCCATGGAGCCCACTGGGAGACTCTGGGCCAGTCGCAGACTCTCAGTCCAGCCTACCTCACAGGGCTGTTGTTGTGGAGATAAGGTTGGGAGCAGGAGGCGGAGAATGATGTAAGCGGCTTTGATTTCATAAGAGAAAAGCGGGATATACATCTAAATCTCACTCCCCGAGTGGAGCGCTCTGCACAGATAAATCCCTGTGTGCGAAGTTCATGCAGGCAGAGACTGCTTTGTTGGTGGAGCCGAGGATGCGCATAGGATGCTGAAAGAAAAGAAGAGGGAAGGAAGGAAGGAGGGAGGGAGGGAGGGAGGGAGAATGGAAGGAAGGAAGGAAGGAAGGAAGGAAGGAAGGACGGAAGGAAATGCATGGAACAAAAATGGTTTAGGAGGCTGCTTAAAAGGGGCTTGCTTAACTACTGCGAAACGAGCAGCGGCAGAGTTCGGGGCATCTGTTCCTGGCCTTGCCCGCTTGGAAGCGAGTCCCGCTGAGCCGAGCCCGGCTCGTTCCCAGGTGCTGGCGGCATCCCGGCTTCGCGCTGACTCCGCCGCGAAGGAGCCGTCATCCATGAATTTCCCAGCTTGCCGCAGCTGCTCTCCGATTCCTCCCCGGTCACAAGGTATCTCTCCCCCCCCCCCCCCGGGACAGCAGGTTGTGTGGGGGTTGGATTTTCGGAGAGGCTGCGTCATGGACACTTGCCGGATGGTCTGGTGCCTGCAAACATGGGATGGGGGGACCAGAGATTGGGGGGGGGCTGCCACAGGCCTTTTCTGGACCCCGAAATAGGGGGCTGTAGCTGAGTCTGGGTGCAATCCTGTGCATCTGTCCTTGTCGGGGGGGCTTTGCTGCTGAATTCGGAAGGCGTGAGAATGAGCAAGCCAGATAGTGTTGTGCTGCGCAGACTTTGCCCACAGACAGGATATTTGAACTTCCCTTTGCACGGCCTGCGCCCGTTGCTGTTAGGACTGGGTGGGTTTTTGCTCTTGGGACGGAGATCCTGGTCAGGGATCGCTCCGAGAAAGCTCGCCATGATTGCTGGAATGGATTGGGAGCTGTGTCCCACCTTCCCCGGACCGTTCGGTTTTGCTCCGGACGCGGGTGCCGAGGCGTGCGAAGCACGTCTAGGTGTGAACCATCCTGGTGAAGCATTTACAGATCTGCAGTGGAAAGAGGCCATTTCAGAGCCAGGTCTGGTGAACGTCGCCCTCATTATTCTTTTGACCAGAAAAATGAATTTGAGCTAAATTCAAGCTAAATATAGCTTGTTTGTTTGTTTGTTTTATCAAGTGCAAACAGTGTGACAACTTTCTGGGTCTAGAAGAAATATTTTGTTCCTTGCCTGCCTCCTGGATTTCCTGCACTCCAGTCTCCTCCTCTAACCTACAATTTTCTAGCAGCCAGAAATGCCCCCGGGATGCTCACACTGGTACAGTGAAGGAAAGCTGGATTCCCAGCTTCTGGTGCTTCAGAGATCGGGGTGTGTCAGGAATGCTTCTAAAATGCTAATGTTTGCATTGATACTTGCTTCAAAAAGTGGTATGACCCCCCCCGCTGTTTTTTGGCCCCCCCCCCCCGTAGTTCTTTGGAACAGAGCCCTGTGCCTCTGCCCCCAAGTCTCTCCTCGGTGGCGCCGCTGGATGCTTGACCGAAACGCTCACCGAGGCAGATCTGTGGGGAATCTGGCGTGGGAGTTCCCCTTGGGATGTGAGGAGCAGGTGACTGTTTTTCTGCTTTGTTTTCAACAGTCATATTCAGCTCAGCAGGAATTCCAGGCAGGCTCTCTGGGGAAGCAGCGGGCAAGTCAGCTGGCTCCCGGCAGCCACTGACGTCCCCGTGCGCAGGGGCCTTGCCACGCTCCTCCCGCTTCGGAGAGAGGCCAGCTCGCCCAGGCCCGAGGCGCAGCTGAACCCGAGGCGAGGTGGACGTCCCACGCATGCCGCAGACCCGCTAGGCAGGGGAAGGCCGCTCCTGCCCCGCAGCCCGGCCCTGGGATGGAGCAGGTGGCCGCGGGGGTCCTTCTCCCGGTCCCCGCTGCCCACTCGGCCACCCCCCTTCGGAGGCATCGGGCGGCAGGGGGTCTCCGTGAGGGGAGGAGACCCCCCGGCCCGGCCCAGCCTGGCCCGCCCCGCAGCAGGATCTCGCAGCTGGCTGCTTGTGGCCAGTGAGCGCGGCAGCCGAGCGGGGCTCCTCGGCACTGCGGAGGCCCGGCCGATGACTCAGCCGGCTGCCCTTGACGGCGCTGCAGCGGCACCAGCCGCGGGGGGCGGGGGGGGGGGACACAGGCGGCCGTCGGCTCACCAGATGCTTTCGCTGCAGCGGGTGGGGAGCAGCCGGGGGGCGGGGGCGGGGAGGGGCGGCGCCGGCGAGCCCGGGAAGCCTGGCCCTGCTGGCAGTCCGTCCATCCCTGTCCCCAGGAACCCAGGACCAACAGGGCAATGAGCTCTGCTGGTTTCCGAACTGGGCGACTGGGCTTGTCCGGGCTCCGTTTTGCCTGCCGCGTCTCCGTGCCAGCCCTCCGCCCCCGAAGAGCCCCGACAGGTTTCCTTGCCGGGAGCAGCGCAGGGGGGGCCCTTGCCTCCTCGCCGCCCCCCCAGGAGAGGGAGCCCAGAAGGCTCTCCTTCGTGATCATTTGCAGGGGTGAATTTCGGCTTTCGCGCGGAGCTGCCTGGGCCTGGCCAGCTTCTGCGACACGCGGGGCGGCTCAGAGGGCACACGTTGGACCCGGCCGAGCTTGGCACATGCTGCCCACTCAGCTGTCAAGCGCCAATAT